TTCGAATTGAATGTCTTCATACCCTCGTTTGATACCCTTGCTGTGTAGCAATTGCCACCAAATTTGATATATAACTTTTTTGTCATATGTATCTGCTTTATGAAAATTTTTAAAGCAGGTTGTTAATAAAGCCGAAAATAATCTGACCCTCAAAGTCAAATTTTGCCTTTATATTCATATATGTAAAATTTTGTTTGACGCATCCAATTGCAAGTATAAGTAGAAATAAATGTCCAAATATTACATTATTATGAATATTTGTAGATTTTGATCACTTAGGTATGTCTTTTATAGTAAAATCATTTATTTTAAAAGTAATAATAAATAAATAGACATTAAAGTTTTTCTTTACCAACAGTATATACACAAATAATAATTATAATAGTAAACAATGATTAAATTAAAAGGTGTTTTATCTCTGATTTTATTCATTTAATTATTTGTCATAGTGATGTTATTAAATATAAATTAAAATAAAAGAAATTTATATACATAAATAAATAACTATTGAATAATTAATAAAACGTTCGTTAGAATATTTTGTTCATAGTAATAGATCTTATATAAACTATTGAATAATTAATAAACGCTTACTTCAATCACTCCTATACAAGCTATTGAATAATTAATAAAACGTTTGTTATTATATTTTGTTCATAGATCTTGTCCTTAAAGCTTACTTCAATTACTCCTACACAAACTATTGAATAATTAATAAAACATTCGTTAGAATATTTTGTTTATAGTAATAGATCTTATATAAACTATTGAATAATTAATAAACGCTTACTTCAATCACTCCTATACAAACTATTGAATAATTAATAAAACGTTCGTTAGAATATTTTGTTTGTAGATCTTGTCCTTAAAGCTTACTTCGATTACTCCTACACAAACTGGATCTTAATCTTTATTATCATCCTCCTCAAAAAACGATGATTCGTTATCGTTGTTTGCTATTTATTGCTACTAATTATAATATTATTGTTTAATGTTGCCATAACAACTACTGATTGATAGATATTCATAATAATCATCAATCAATATAAAATCAGAAATATAAAACAAACTAATAAAATACCTTTTAGTTTTTGCTGAATCCCATCTACAAAAATTCTTCATGACTATTAAATTTCTATAAAATAGTTTTTCGTGAGCCTCTCTAAAACTTATTAACCAGTACCCCATAAAGTAATGACCATATGAAAGCTTATTCTACACCTTCTCATTTATTATCAAGTCTTTTAAAGCGATATTGAGAAATAATCTGAGCTTTGAAATGAAAAAGTAATACCGTTTTTGAATAGCCGTAAATTCATGCAGAGAAGACCTTTCTATATAAAAGAGTATTCATTAGAAAGCTTTAATGGAGTACTTTTATTTTACTCTAACAAAGAAGTTCAAATTTATTATGTATTTTAAAAAAATTTCATGTGACACGAATTTCGAATTTATTTTAATATAGAAAATCAAAAATTGATGTGAATAACAATAACAACGATCACACTTCCTCCTCCCTGTATGAACAATTAAAGACATTGTGGAAATTTTTCGGAAGATAAACTTTTGCAGGACATGTCACACGACTATTACTGTATTAGTAATAATAAAATTTGGTGGGTATCCGTCGAATGATAATTCACCGATTATCCGGTTAATCGGGTGCTGAAAATTTTTTATCCACGTAATTGAAAGAATTACTAATATATTAACATGTAAATACTATTTTATGCACTATTACACTATCACCATTATTTCTATTATAATAACACATCAAGTAATACGAATACCAACTGTGTCATTATTATCTAAAGAATATTTATGCATTGCAGTAACTTCTACTCCAAATGAGCGTCTACAGCTAAACCTTGTCACAGAGGACTATAATTATAACGAATTTTTAAAATTTTTGCTTCACATTCAAAAAAACATAAAAATCCATTGTAGCAAGATCAGTAAATCTTGCCGCAACGGGTTTTAAATAAATCTTCATTCATCTGCTGTGACAAGGTTTGACTGTATTTAGTGAAGCTGGAAACACAATGACAGCCGAACGAATAAAATCGAATCCGTTGTTATTTGTATTTCTTAAAAAAAATATGCAATGTATTGAAAATATTTTTCCTGAGGAATAATAATATTCAATGAATATTCAATGGATATTTGGCGGATATTCGGTGAATGACCAATTATCCGGATAATCAACGGATACAACCACCAATAGAATTATTACGTTATTATTATATTATAATGCAGCTTAGGAACAATCATATAAGCATGGGATGTGTATATTAATATAATTGCAATTTAAATATTTAAATATTTACTAAATCTCAAAAAAAAAAAATTCATTAAAAATCACAAGCATTTACAACAGTCAATTCTTTCTTAAATCAACAAATAAATCATCATCAATTTTTTATAAATAGCCCTTGGTTTCTTTTTCTAAAATTCATTTTTTTCTCATTGAGCTTGATTATCAGATTTGTTTCTTTTTCCATGGAACCCCACCCTATTATTACACCAGACAAGGAAAAACGAAAGAGGGTATCAAACAGTGAAGAGCTTCTGTCTACAGCTGCTATACAGGTATAATATTATTGATGTGCAAATGACCTTTAACATGAATTGTTGTATTAAGCAATTAATTCTTGCACTATACCTTTGATAGAAACGTCTGAAAGTTGAAGATGAATCAAGCTTAACACTCAATCAAGTTCTATCAGTTGAATCTTAAATTTTTATAAAGAAAATGGACCAAATCTTACCTCCTCAAAACCTTTTAATGATGATGAATTTATTCTAAGAGTCAATGAAGCATTTGATTCTACTTATGGAAAACCTTTTGCCAAAGAAAGCCTTCAACAAGCAACAAAATGGCTGCATTTCCAAAGTCTGGTTGTATCCAAATTCACTGCAGGAAGAGAACCTACCTTGGGAGTGCAGATTTCACAATATCTCAATAATGAAGTCCCTCATGGATTTCACCTCTGCATGCCCAATGGAAGCATTGTCATTCCAAAGGGATTACTTTTACTTGTCACAATCATTCACCTTTATGCAATTAGAATTGTCATTTTCTCCACATGTAAAAAACCAGTTGAAATTGACCCAGGCAGAGATAGAATTTGTCATACAGTTGCACTCCTGAGACATCAAGATTCAATATTATCAGGGGGAGCATGATACACACTTGAACTGGCAAAAAATTTAATCAAGCAAACAGCTACAATACATATGGACACAGTCACATTAATGATCTCACCACCTGCAGTCAAAAGGTTTCAAGGAGCAGCTCCTAAGCAAAAGGCACTTGTTGATTATGCATCAATTGGTGATGATATACTAAGAGATTTGCTACAATCAATAATGTAAGTGTGAATTATTGTTATTATTCATTTTTGGATGTTATGCTTACTTTTTTTTTTACAGGAAAGAGCCCTCTAAAATGATTACAAAAAGGAAATAAGAGGGAATCCCCACATCACAAAAACTAGCCAAGTTTAAGGATAAAAATATTAATTGGAAATCACCATCTTGAGATTACCTTGAAAAAGTATCAGAGAAACTTAATGAAATGGTAGATACAAGTAACATGAATACACTTGTTTTGTCTGTGCATCTTGGGAGAATCAAAGAACCCAACATAATGTAAATATGGAAAGAAGTAATGGAAGAATATATGACAGCTATTTCAATGAATATTGCTACTTTAGCTACTACTCCTTCACAGGATTCTGGTTCTAGAATGATCTTGACTGAACAAGATGATGATGAAGACATGA